CTGTTACTATTATTAAACTTTACATGAATTACTATAATTTGAAATTACTGAGTTGTGATTATTTACAATTTTCCTGACTTTAATGGAAAATATGGTCATTTCATCATGGAGTACCACAGTGCACACTGAACATTTTTAAATGCCAAGATTTCTTATTTGTCTCCAAAGCCAAATGCACAGGCACCAGATCATCTCACTAAAGATGCCTGCCACCCTCATTGCCTCAGACCAATTTACTTCCGCTAGATGCTTAGCTCTGTGATGATCCCAGGGAACTCAAGGTCTAGAAAATAATTATAAACTATTAACATTAATCAACGTTGAAAACCACAAGCATAGAGGTATAAAGAAACAGAAGCCAAACTTGTCTAATTGCCAGGCTGCATTTTCCTCCAAAGCACCAGAATATTTCTAAAGATTTTTTCTCTAGTACTTATAATAATGATGATGATAATAATAATACTTCTTTTCTCCTTATATATATACAAATATTCATAGACAAAGCAAAAACAGTTTTGCTATAACATCTTTTCACAGGACCTCTCTTGGCTTCCCCTTCAGAGCCACAAAAGTTCTTTCTTTCACAGAATTCAATTCCTGTGAAGAGACCATGCAAATAGGTAGGAGGTAGCACATTTCATAACTTAACTGAAATATACTCATTAAAATGTGTTTTCTCCTTCCATTTTATGAAAAAAATATTATATGTTTCTGAATAGATTATATTACCTCTTTGACAAGAGAATTGGGTTCTTATCTAGGTTGTTATATGATTTCAGATGTTATTTTCCTTTATGGACTTCCATTTTCTTATCAAGAGGATAGATTGAGGATTGAGAATTTTAGCTCAGTGGTTAAGGGCTTGCCTACCATGCAGGAGACTCTGAGTTTGATCCCTGGCACCACAAAAAAAAAAAAAAAAGAGAGAGAGAGAGAGAGAGTGGGTTGGACTAGGCCATCTCTTCTTTCAGGGTTCTGGCATTTAGAATCCTGTGCCATCTCTTTTAGATGTGATGCACATATTCTAATGCAACTGACAATTGATATATATATATATATATTTGTTGAAGAAATGATAAATGCAGTTTAATATTTTGAGAATGGCTACTGGAATCAAACACAGACAAGCACATTGTCAAAAACACTTGGCTTCATTCCACTACTTTTGCTACTAGGGTTTGGAAGAATAACTAAAATATAGTGCCAACATTCTTTATGTACTTCTTTTAAATATTAAAAAGAAACTGGAGCAAACATTTTTACTTAGTTTGTAGAGCTGAAAATTACTGATCTCATTTTTGTTCTTTGATAATCTGAATTAATGTTGTCTAAATTAGGGAAAGCAAATTTGTCCATTAGTGAATCTCTTTAAGAACTTAAGATTACCTCCTTTAAATGCAAATATTATTTTTATAAGAGATGTTTTCAACAGAAGCTATTAAAATTATACATTCTTTCTCTTCTTGATTACCCATAATGCCATCAATCTGCAAAGCAGTTTTTACATTGTGTCAGACTAGATTGTAGTCTCTAGAATCTTACTCTAAGGGCTTACCGGAGTGCCTGGGTCCATTTGTTCGCCACTGATTATCAACAAACTACTGTAATGAATAACTCAAAAGTAAGCAGAAGACCCTGTCCACTTATACTTCCTTTGCCAGCTGTCATATTCCATGGTTGCCTATGAATCAAGTGGGCCTTAATCTGCACCTTTATTTTAAGTAAATGGTTTGAGGATGGATATTTCTTTTCAAGTACATGAAACTACAGACTCTGTGTGACATCTGCTTTTCAGTCAGAAGCACTTTCCATTTATTTCCAGACTCATGGCTATGTTCCATGATTTGCGGATAAGTGGAAATTTCCTCTATGATCCTATTAATCTTCAAATAAGATTCTGCATATAAAGGAGCTAAAGATAGTATACAACCATATAAAATAATAATAATTACATCTCTAAAAGTACTTTAATACCAAATCCACTAGAAAAATTTACAAATTAAACACCTGAATTTAATTAACAAAATAATAACTGAATATACTTGAATTTTTTCATTATAAGAACACATGAAACGTGATGGAAGACGTGCCCACATGGATATATTCAATAATCATGAAGTCATTTAAACAATTTGAATATTCTGCCATATTAAATACCAGTACCTGCTATGAAATATTTTAAACCTTTCACATATCACTTGCATTTTAATATAATGTGTAAGTTTCTTCTTATACAAATTTTAATACATTCAATAGAATCATTTCACTTTCAGAATCATCAATTTTTAATTGTTTAAGGCATAAAACAAATGATACAATAAGTTCTTTTTCCATCATTTTAAACAAATATGCTTAACTTCACCCTTACATCCAGATGCAAGGAGAGAAACTCTCTTCTATCCAAGTACTTCTACACAATGAAGTAACTGGGTTCAGTTGAGGCCTACGCAGGTTGTCAGTGAAGAGTCTCCTTCAATGAGACAACTGAAGCTTCCTGCTCGTCTCAATAAAGAAATCTGTGCAATTGACAACGCTAATGCAATCATTCATCAAGACAGAATTTCAAGAGCAACCATCTATAATACAAAACTTGCATCATCAAAAACACAAATGAATCAAAAGAGGGTTCAGTACCTAACACTCTTATTTCACAAAAAAAGCATATGATATAAGAAATTCAAGTTGGTAGAATTTATTAATGTTATTGAGAATTTTATATCACTTCCTAAATACATACATATTGCATCTGTTTCTAAAAGCAGTTATGGAGGTTGCAGAGGTTTTCATAGCTCCTTAATTTTGATAGCTCTGGAATCTGTTTCATAGGAAACCTTAGAAACTGTAGCTCCTACTTGAGTATTTTAGGCTTTTTATAAAAAATGTTCTATGAAAACCTACATTTTCTTGAAAGCTTGGTAGATTACCTTGTAGTTAAATCATATGAAGAAGTAGGTTTTAACTCTCTTAGGTATAATTTAACAAGGTTTTGCTCATAATTATTTTGAGTATGTTACTTTTGAATCAAGCTTTTTTCTTTTTTTTTTATTTCACTATAGCCACAATGTGTAATGTTGCTATGCATGAGGGTAGAGATCACATCAGCAAGTAAGAGCTGTAGCTGCTGCTACTAGTAAATAAGAGAAAAATTATAATCCAAGACAATAAGTAACAGTTTATTATAACTCATTCAAACCCTGTCTTCAACTATATAAGGTACTACTCTATGATTCATTCTGTTAATTGTTTGGACTCCTTCTTAATATATTTCATTTGCTATATTTCAAAAAATAAGAATCCACAATTAAAAACAAAATTGAGAATTTATGAATTAAAAATCTAAAACTCTTGAGATACTTCTTTATAAAGCAAATCTTGAACTGAGTCTGCAGGCTGGAATACATACACTGCAAATTATCACTGTGTTTAAAACCACTTAACAAGTATCCTTACCTCCAGTCTCTTCCCATTAAATATGTCTTGCCCCAAATCAAAAAGTCATCACTCTAGAAAAAATCAAAGTTCAATTGTTTCGCTTCAAAGCCTTAAAAAGCTTCAAAGCTATGTTCTGTACAAAGAACAAACTTATTAGCTTCATATACAACTATATCCCTTAATATATGATCCAAACTGCTTTCTAAACTGCATCTCCCAGTAAGCTATTCTGTCATCTCTTCAATGTTCCTTTTGCAATACCAAACTCACTAAATCATGGGCCATTTACTAAAGACATCATAGATATTATCCCTAGGTGATTTTGTTTACTTGTTCCTTCTGCCTGAATATTCCTTTTTTTTTTTCTGACTTTTCTTGGTCTCTCTCTACTGAAGAGCACTTCTCTATGAAATTTCCCAATCCTCACTCTCCAGAGTTTCCTGAAAATTACTTTGTAATTTATAGTTTCTTGACCAAAGTTGTATTTTAACATGTCTCAGACTGCTTTTGCCCTCCCGATTTTCCCATACATCTCTACTTTTAATGTTTTAACCTAAGGTAGAAACTGTGTCTTATCCTCTGCATGCAGTGCCTAGCACACAAAAGAGATTCAATGTTTGCTGATTAAATAGATGAAGGACTACTGTGTGATACATTCATTCTTTTTCTACCAGTGTCTTAGAGTTAGTGCTTCTTACTAAACTAGTATGGATGCGGAGAACTAGCCAAGTCAACTAGATTAATGGATTAGGATTTAAGCAGAGACCTCCTTTTTTTCTACTGAATACTATATGTTAGATTGAAATAAAAAATAATAATTACAGGTATGGCTGAGTGATGCTGGTAAAAGGAGGAAGGTTTCTTTTTTCTTTGTTTTTCTAAATTTTGATATTAGGCACATGGGACTGACTAGAAAGTCCTTGGCTAAGAAACAGAATTATAGGCTTGTGCAAATAAATCATTTCTGGGATTCATCTGTAAAGCAGGGTTGCCAATGCTTTGATTGTCAAAAGGTTATGGGACCAGACTAGACTGAGGTATTTTTCACTCCTAAGATATATTATCCTATTATCCATCCAGTCATCCATTCATGAATGCTTCATATCTCTTATGACTCCAATATCTGCAATCCTATATTAATAAAAGTTGGACTCAAAGAAAGTGTTAAAGTCCCAAACATTCTGCAAGACTTCATACTTAGTCAAAAGGAATGATATGCAGAACAGCAAATCAGAAGCTCATGATAATGAAACAAATTCTCCTGCTACTATTTGCTTAGGTGTGCTTCTGTGTTTTAGGTTTCACTTCCCTGTCTGAATAGTTTCGGAGGATTGGATGTTACACTTAACTTAAAAAGGGCCAAAAGGATGAAAGAATAAATATTTTCTTTAAATGTGAAAAACAGGAACATTAAAATTCTAGAACATTTAAAAGTTATCTATAGTGAAAGTTTGTCAACAGCAGTCACATTCATATGCACTTAGGTATTTGTTCTGTTCAGAAAAAAGTGACCTAAGCAACTTAGAAATATATAGCTTTGACATATCAGTGATAACTCCAGAGTCTACCTTTGCTTCTGTTGCATGGGTTGTTGTCTCATAGCCATATACTGCATATCTTCTTGCAGACGATTTAGAGGAGAATCTGGCTTGACACGAATTCCATAGTAATGGTACTTGGAGTTTCCTCTTTATAAAAGAACAACATTGGAAACACAAAGTCAAACCAGTATCAACCACAGAGAATGTCCATTTAATTTCACATTTTGAAAAATCAGGTAAAAGCAGCATACTAATCTTATATATTTTTTATTTATCTTTTCCTGATACCTATTATGTTTTTATAGTAAGAACATCTGAAGAATCAAAATAAGATTCTGAGTCAATCAGTTCAAGACCCTAAGATAAGTATTTTGTTTTCAAATTAATATTTTAAATGTAATTTAATGTGGGAAAACAATTTTGGCCAACAAAAATTCATTAACAGGATAAAGGACTTACATTAAATATGAATTTGTAAGTGGAAAATTGAGAACAAAGAAAAATTCTACAGACTTGGACAAGTTCAACATTTTTCTCTTTATCATAGGAATGATGAAATAAGATAAATTTATTATAGGATGTTGTAGTGAAACATATTAGTATTTTGAAACTTAAAACAAGATGATATTTTTTATTTTGAAACACATTTTATTAGTCTCTGTTTTTATGAATTTATATCAGTTTTGTAGGTTGAATAAGATATATCACAACAGACATGGGAAAATTTTTCTGTGAAAATGGCAAATTCCCACCTGGAATAAAAATGTCACAATTTTCCCATGTTCATGAGAAAGACCATGTTTGCTATTAGAAATGACAAGTTTTGCTCTGAATGGAATTTGCAAATTCTTGCAAAAATAACATTTTAAATATGTAAATTCTTGCAAAGAGAAAATAGTTTTTCACAAGTCTATATATAGCAAGACATCAGTGCTCTTTCCAATTTTTTCTTTCATTTAGAAAAAGAAATGCAAGAGGAATGTGGATTAAATAGTTTTTATAAAAATAGAGTAGAATTTTACTTCCAAGATTAACATATATTATATGAACACTATACATTTGAAGACATTAAAATCATATTACATAAATAATACTGTTAATTTTTTAAAAAGTCATTTGAATATATGTACTCTTTCAGCAAAATAAAAATGAAAATTTAATGCCTACAAAGTCTAATCACTTGCAGAGATTAGATCTTGCTCTCCAAAGTCCAAAGACAGAGCTAAAAATACAAACAAGAAATATCACAAACACAATTTGTAGTGTTTTTCATACAAACTGAAGGATAGCAGATAGTATAGGTAAGGATATAGTATAGGTATGGGTAGAAAGCAAGTAGCATAGGCAGGGGTAAAAGGCATTAATCATGGGGAAAAACTAAAAAGTAAAATGATGTTTCTCTTGAAGTATCTAGTTCTTTTTCAGTTTTCTACATATCATCATTTTGCTTGGGTTGGGAGGGAGTGGAAGTTCTTTTTATTCACTGGAAAGGGTTTGGAGAGTAAAGTATATCCATAGTCAGTTTTGCTCAAATTTGATTTGGAGAAGGGATCTAAAAAACAGTACCTTTTATTCACCTTTATTTAAAAATACAGTGATTTCATTTATTTGTTGTTTACTTAGACCCCCAAACTTAAGAAAAGATGTAGTCTGGTTCTAATAATTTCAACAGATAATACTACTGATACATAACATTCCTGGCATAAAGTTCACTTTTTTTCTTTTTAAAAATATCTGATTTTGGAGCTGGGGTTGTGGCTCAGCGGTAGAACACTTGCCTCTCACATGTGAGACCCTGGGTTCGATCCTCAAGACCACATAAAAATAAATAAACAAAATAAAGATATTGTGCCCATGTATAACTAAAAAAATTTAAAAAAAATATCTGATTTAGTTTGCCTCATGATTTATATTGATTTACTTCTTGGATTAGGAGTAGAAAGTAAATATCATAGTAGAATGAATCTCTGGGACTTTACCTACCACTAATACTGTCAATTTTCCTACATTATAGTTCTCTCTCTTTATAACACCTCATTTGTTTAAGCATAGTATTTATTTTCTCATTCGTCTAGGCTTTGCATTCTAACTCAATTGCAAACACAGAATACAATTTTAAAAGGAACAGGAGACATAATTGTTGGGGATTGGGGGAACATTAGAAGTAAAAGCTGAAATATTGTAAAATGTACTTAGAGAATATGGATTCTACTCATTCACAAACCCAAACAACCCCAATTTTATCCCTTTCTATTATTAAAGATGTTTCAAGGTTTGAATGGAGCCTCAAAATAGGGCCCATTGAAATCCTTTTCAGTAACAAAAGTAGCACAACAATACAGCTATTAGAATGTTGAATAAAGCCCAGAGTTTCAAAATATTGGCACAGTATATGTAACTACTGAGCTATCAGTTCAGAAATAGAGGGTTAGGTCCCCAAATAATGATTTTCCTCATTTTGGTTTTAAAAAAAATACTAAAGAAACAAAAAGCTTTTTTCAAGGGAATGAAAACTGGTTCCTTTAGTCTGAAGAGATAATCATGTTCTGTAGTTTAAAATATACTACTATTTTGAAGTATAGATAGAAGAAAATATATTTATGCGAGAACTGAACCTCCAGCAATCTAAAAGCCATACTATTACTTAAAAGTTGTGTACAATGAATCAAAGAGCTTTCTGCTGTCATGCATAACTGATTAGAACTAATAAAAAATAAATTAAAAAAAACGACATCATGGAATAATTCAGAATTCAAATGCATACAGACCTATAAATATTATAAAACTGACAAAGTGCCAGGGTTCAGGACATACTATCCCAAAATATGTACTTTGGCAGGAGAAAACAGCAGAAACAGGCCATAGAAAGTAGAACGAATTCTCCGTGAAGTGGAACATAAAAACTAGATGACCTTCCCATAGGTCATAAGACCCGCTTTGGTACTAATATATAATGAAGTTAATTACTAAGGTACTTTTTATTTTACTAAACTCTTTATTTTGGTAAATTCTTTACCAAAAAAAAACCTCTGAGGTTATTATTTATAAGTAATTAAAGGTACATCACCTAAAGTTATACAGTGTAGCATCTCTATGTTGAATATTTTTATATAATTTCTATAAGTTTAAAAAGTCAAAAACACCCAAATCCTTCTGCCTAAATATTTGTTTCCATTATGTAGAAATTATGGAAAGACAAAAACAAACTCCACAGTTCTAAGTATTCTTTTCATCATCTTTTATTAGTAAAAATAGTCATTAATTTTCAAATGAAGGAAAACAGAAACTGAAAAGTGCTTCTTTCATTATTGGCTTCTATACAATTGAACTATACCATGTTCTAACTTCTACACATGATAATTTCATGATTAAGAGCAGAGAAAACAAATAAATAAAAGGAAAATAAAAGGTAAAATAGGATCTATGTCATCACAGAGGACTTCAAATGCCTATATTTTGCAAATTTACCAAATGACTTTTAATTGCTCCTAGCTTCATGAAATGAAGTAAAAACCCAGCTTTAATTTTTTCTCTACTCAAATAAGGTTATTATAAAGATAATTAAATATAATTTTGTAAAAATCAGGAGATAGTCTCCTATTTACAATGTCAAACACTAAACCTTCAGTGTTTTTTAAAAAAGTGACACATATTGATTTTTAAAATATCATGTGCAAGTCTTGCATTAACAGTTAATGTTTTTCTTTTTTTCTTTTGGTACCAGGAATGGAACCCAGGGGCACTTAATCACTGAGCTACATTCTCAGCTCATTTAATTTTTTATTTTGAGATAGGGTCTTGCTAAGTTGCTTAGGGCCTCTCTAAATTGCTGAGGCTGGCTTTGTACTTGGTGATCCTCCTACCTCACCCTCCTGAGTCAGTTAATTTCTATGTAGGCTGAAAATCAAATATTCTCAAAGCTTTGCTCACTCAGTGTTTAGGACAGCATATCATTCTGGCTTGGTAGTATTCAGTGACTTTCCTTTTCTTATTCTATATTTTTCCCTTATGTATTCCTGTAATCAAGTACTTTTGCTCAAACAATTCACAAAACTGCTGTAATTTGAAAAGGGGAAGTACTTTATTTTTCAGTACTAACCTAGTGCCCAATCTCCTGGTTCGCAGCCCCATAAAAATTGACCTTATTAGTTTTCCAAAAGAGGCAGCATTAACAGGGTCCAGTTTGTGTTCTTGACAGTGTCGAAGGTAGTGGTTATACAGAGTGCTTCTGGGAAGGCTCACTCCTTCTGCTGTCTCATAATTGTCCAACAGCCACTGGAGCTAGTAGAAATAAGACACAGCAAACAGAGAAGTCATACAGTTTGTAAAATTTCTCCAGTCCACTGCAAACACAATATGCAAAAATACTTGAAAGTTCTTCATTAAATCTAAGAGTAAACTGCTAAAATTCAGAGACTGAAGAGATCCGGCTTTAAAAACCTCCAGAAACAGTGTAAATAGCTGAACATCATTTTTCATCTTAGACAATATCCTTTTCTTCACAGAGTCAAGCACATATAGAGACATAAGTTTTTCCTGTATTACTTGTAATTCTGAAGACAAATATTTCTTCAGAAAATTCAAACAATCTAGTTAATCAGTCATAAATAAAATTTCTAATTGTTATAGAAAAAAACACATTACTAAGTCTGCTAGCATGGTACCTAATGTGTCTTTCATGTAGGTTTCTTATAATACATGAACAGCAAACTGCTTTGTATGAGGTTTTATATTAAGAGTCTATTCACTTTTAGAGAATTATAATTTACTTATCTCAAGGTACCACTGGATAATAAAATAATAACATTGTATAATGGGATGAATTCTGAAAACAGAAAGGACAAAATTCACTCATTCTTTCCCAAAAGGGAAAGAAACTCATGAGACATTGGCAAAGAACTTATATAAAATGAAAGAAAAATTGGTTTTATAATTATGAGTATTTCTATCTCGATGTGTTTTTTCATAATTTTAGAAGGCACATGGCAATGACATGTAGTAAAGCAATATTTTCAACCTATAGTTAACATTTTAAAGTTGCATTATCCTGTATTTTTTGAAAATAACTTTAAAGTATAGAATTTAGAATTAGAATTTTTAGAAAATTTTATCCAGTAACATATTATTGCATTCAACTTCAGCAAAATTAAATTTTTCATTTGTTTATTTACTTTCTTACAAAAGGAGAAGTAAAATAGACTTAAAGAATTTTTCTTAAAGTCATACATTTTCTTGATGCTTGAGCACGGTTTCAAACTCAAGTTTCCTAAATACACTAGAACAACAGTTCCACAAAAGCAGCAAATATTTCATATTACTTGTCTCAAAAAAATTTCCATGACATATATAAGAGGTAAAATAAACAATTAATATTTAGAATGAAATATCATTTAAATTAAAATTATGGAAACAAAATAATTCATTTATTTAGCACCAATGACAACCCAAACAATGTGGTAGGCATCCACTGATAAAAAGATGAATTTAATCTCACTTCTTCTGTAGAAATTAGAGTCAAATGTTATAAATGATGAAATGGACATTTAAATAAGTTAAAGCATTTCTCCATTTTGCTTACATATTTTAAGATCTGTGGTTAAAACGAGAACTTGAACTTTCAGATTTTTAAGAAAAAATTATTTTAAATATTTTCAGTATTGCTTTTAACCATGACAATTAATTGAATTTTTCAGAATCATGTTAATTGCAAATATTGCGCTTATGTAATTAAATGTCATTAAACCCATATTAACTGTTGGCTTAGAAAATGTAGCCACTGAGCTTACAGAGCAGATCACTTTAAAAAATAAAATTTGTATTCTATTCAGAAAGACTTCCAGTTCTTTATGGAACACATATGCATATGAATATGTACACTTAAACATATGTATTAGTTCTGTAATGTATACAACCCTCCAATGTAAAACTCTGAAAAGATTATACAAGATAAATTTTCATGTTTCTATTGACAGAAAAATATTCCAAGTTAAAAAGAATTCTTTTCATATGAATCATCTATAACCATAACATCAACAAATCTTCCAGGGTCATTTAAACATGATTTTTGAGTATTCTAAACAACATATAAAATAGGTTCACTATACGTATTCATTTAGTGTAAAAGATAGGAGGTAATCTGATTAGAAGATTAAAGTTATTAAGGCTTGAACAAAAATTCTGTCTATAAGAGTGGGCTAGCATGCCTCTTGGTTTTTTGTTTGTTTGTTTTTGTTGTTGTTGTTTTGTTTTTTGTTTTTAAGAGTTTGTTAATTATGAACCCAACTGAGGGAGACTACAAAAATGAAGTAATACAAACCTAACTCATATATTTCATCCACATGCTTCATTAAAATGATTAGGACTTGAAAGCATGTTGGTGCTAGAGCAGCCCTACTGAACAATATTGCCTAAAAGTGCTCTAATTTTGTATCCATATACTCCATAGAGCAAGGTGACTGTTTTCTGTTAGTACTCTTAACATATTAAAACATGCAAATATTTTTTGAAAAATAGCAATATTTTTTGAATAAACTAACCAAGTTCCCACATCCAAAAGCATGTAATATACAATCTATGTAAGTTAAAAATGTGAAAATACCTTTTTATGTAATAATGTTGTCAAAGACGCAACAGTACGATTAGGAAAGAGTTAAGAAATCAGAATTCTTTTCCTTGCTAATGAATAGATAGTTGACAAATATGTAACCAATCTTAGTTTGAGAGTTTTTTTCAGAAATAGTTAATTTTACAATATGAATATACTTTTTATAACCAAGTTGTAAAATAACTTAGATTTATAAAAATAGATCTAATGTAAATAATTTTAATTTGATATAAAGTAACAAATTATTTTCTTAAATACAAATAAAAATGTTTCAAACTGCCTTAATTGTATACTAGTCTTCTTGTAACATTTAATTACTTAAAAACAAAGACAAATATCTGAATCAGATCTTATTAATTTCTCATAATTATCATAATTATTTTGCAGATAAAAATTTTTATGAAATTGAAAAAACAAAATGAATAATAAATTATTTGAAGAGTACTTCCATAAACTGCTTTTTTCCTTTTTTTTTCCATTTAGTTGTAGATGGACACAATACCTTTATTTTATTTGTTTTTATTTTTATGTGGTGCCGGGAATCGAACCCAGTGCCTCACACATGCTAGGCAAGCTCTCTACTACTGAGCCACAACACCAGCCCCATAAATTGCTTTCTATAAAAGAAGAAACTAGTGCAAACATTAAAGTTCAATATAGAAAATTTTGAGTTCAATGTTTGGTTTCTGTGTGTGTGTGTGTGTGTGTGTGTGTGTGTGTGTGAATATCTGAGTTAATCAGACCAATATTAATCAAATAAAAACTTCTCACAGAGATAGTGAGATAATTATAGCAAAAGTTGGCATAAACTACTTAGAAGCCTAAATTATATTACTCATATCTCAAATGAATGACTCAGAGAAAATGAAGCATTCATTGGATTGGCTATGCAGCATTCTGAAATGTTGAAGCAAGTCAAAATATCTGGGGTATTCTGTAAACTGATTGTTCTTACATACCTTATATTCTTAAAAGTTCTTTTCCTAAACCAGTTTTTAAAATCTGAGTTTGATTTATCTAAGATAATCTAGACTAGCTGGTATGAAAAGTTTCATGTGAATAGGTATTTTGATGACTATAACTCTAATAGTGGCAAAACTACATTTTTTTTCCTAATCCATTTTTTCAAATGGAAGAATTACATTCCTTGCCAGAAACCTAGAGAGCACTTTGAAGAAGCAGAAAGATAAACACTCTGCAAGGATAGAGGTGGTTCTTCTGCAGCCCTGTGGGTTCCAGCTAGAAATCCTGCCAACCACTCTACCAGCTGCTGGGAGAGGAGTAATCTCTTAGAAACTCATTGTGTACACAGAAACTGATTTGGAATTTAACAGATAAGACTTTGATATATAGTTGGGGATTATAATCTGAATTCTATATACCAGTAATTAACTTTCAGGTTTTGAAAGAGTGATGAAATTAAATAACAAACCTTGAGTATAAAATATAGTATTAGAAAGCATCCCAATAATTTTATATATATAATAATTATACCAATAATTCTTATTATTGGAGAAACTTAGCAGTCAAGTTTTTGTGTAAATTTAAATTTAACCTGAAGGCATGTGCTCCACATGCTACTCATGGGAAGTTAATGCCTTTTATATGATACATTGTTCCTGTAGTTTTCTCTTTAACAAAATGCATTTGGACCTTAGAATTCTGTGCTCTTAAACATTTAGTAATTTAGAACTAAATGGTTACCATTTCTTTTACTCTTTTGTAAAATGTCTTGCAAATGCTTACATTTATGATGTTAAAAGCCCATAAAATATGGAAAATTTTAAACTTTATCTTTAAAATCTGATTATTCTACTAATGAACTAAAATATACTTGTTCTAGGGTAGAAACCAAGAAAGTGGGATCTTTCAGCCCTTGCATTAATTTATTTTGATCAGGGCATCCTAAAGAAGATGAACAGTTCCTATTTATCCTAAAGGGAAATACTGTTTGACAAATAAAAATAAATAAATATTGCATTACCCATTTAACATCTAAATGTAACATTTGGCATTTTATCCCAGATGGATTTTTTATCCCAGATTATCCATTAGGATTTACTTTAGGTTCAATTCAATGATGAAATTCATCGGAAATGACTTATTTCCATAATAATTTATATTTATAATACAGCAAAGTCAAGAGATAATAAGTAAAAAACAATGTTTTGCTTTGAATTGAATGTTTTGGTAGCTAAACCCATCAAACTTGTGAAATAATTATTTGATAGAAAGTGAAAAAATATAAAATAAATGCAGCTTTTAATATGCTTTAAATGAAATTTTTTAAATATATATTTCAGAACATAATGTGAAAGTTAGAAACAATGAATATTTGTGACTTCAAGTTTATAATCTATCCTAAATTGGATGCAATATTTCTATTAAATACTAATTTATATTTATTATAAGTTGGAGTATAAAATAAACTTTAGTCTGCAATTTAAAGAGTTAGATATTCTATTTTTATTTAGTCAAATTATATATCCTTTATTGGTAGCACTTTCACATACAAAAAATTAGAAATTAATTAGAAATAAAAATATTTAAATAAATATTGTACAAAGAGAATTCTATAAAGCCAAATAAAAAGAACCATTCTAAAATATAAGGAGACAAATAATGTCACTATTAACTGCAACATTTTAAAGGTTGGATTATTTAAAGAAAAAAAAGTTGTCTACACTTAAAGACTTCGCATAGAAAAATGATAGAGTGACCACATATTTTTTTTTAGTATATCAGAAGAGGCCACCCTCTATCAACAATGCTCACACATATGCTTACTGAAGAACGCTTAGAAAACAATGCATATGAGTCTCCAAATAAACATAGGACTATCAGTCATTCTAGAACACTAAAGGTAAGATAAGGTCTGTTCCCCTCTATTATTTCTAGTATTCATTCGTTTGGCAAGTATTTAATGAGCATTCATGATGTCTAGTACTGGTCTAGGTGCACAGTCTGTCTTGGTAGACAAAATATACAAAATCCTTAGTCCCTTAGAACTTTCTCTTGCCAACAAACATTTACTGACATTCTATAAAACACCAGTACTGAAATAACTGCCATCATGTTAATATTGTTAGTAGAATAAGTCACTGCACATAGTACAACTGTACTCATCACATTAGTATACAAAATGAATAGGTTATATGTGCGTTTCATCAATGTGATAATAGTATAATAGTAAAAACAGATCAGCAGTATAAACACTCAAGAATACGCTAAAAATGGGATATAAAATTTCATGTCCCACCCATCTCCTAATGTGTGGAAAGAAAGGTGAAAAGCAAAGCAAACTATCAGGATTCACTGAATTTGCTCCTACTAAGACTCTTCTAATTACTGTGAATAATCAAATGTATAAAGAAAAAATAGGAAATCCTTTGTACTCCATATCCCGAAATAGAATGAGAAGACTTCTCAGTTCAAGAGTCATGATTCGCACTTTTCTTTAGATACTAGTAAATATGGGATATATATTAGTGATAATTTCCTACAAATTTTTTCTTAATTAATACTTTTTAGAAACTGAGAAATTGAAGACTTCATCATGGTTAAGTTGAACTCATGTCCACCTTAAAGAATCACGCAAACCTCAAATAATTCTATATTATATCCTATTAGTGAAGAATAAAGAACATCATTGGACATTTAATATATTAACAATATTTTAAAATAATTTTCCAATGAAAAAAATTTCTATACAACAGAAAAATCACCAAAAAGTTCACAGAATCTAAAACATTCTTTCCAAGATTAACTAGCATGCAGATTACTTCAGCTGTTTGGATAAATCTAATAAAAATCAGGAGCATGTTAACTTTCCAAGGACAAAAAGACAACAGGATCTTTTTCTATGTTCAGGGAGAAACTAACTGCATTGGTTAACAAAAGCACTGATCCTGTTTCTACTGTTAACAAACCATCTGTAGAATCCATTTGTATCTCTAAAGACTTAATGATAAATATGGTTTTGAATGAACTTCACTATACTTCAGGTGTGATACAAATGAATCAGGCTAGCTAGGCAAAGATTATCATTACATTAGTGACACTTGTGCTGGCTCCTTTCTAAATACAGAAATGCCTTGGGCAGTTAAAGTATGGAAGATTTGCCATACTATATAATAAAAAAATATGATGCCATCGATTAATAAATAGTTGTCCACTGTTTATATGGCTTAATTCACACTTATTAACACAAACTATTAGTTCACAGATTCAACAAGATAAAAATAATTTTTGAAAACTACAATATATTTTAAAAGTCCCAAACAAATTAAAAAATAAATAAAAACATCTTTATACCTATATTGTTCATTAAAATACTAATTGTGTTAGGTAATTAAAGTTTAGAGTTAAAATTAAGCACATCATATATTTTAATATACTATGTTTCTAATAAAAGCGAAACATTAATTGAATATTAAATAAGCACAACACAACTAGATGTCTAAAAGTTGAAAAAGGAACAACTGGAAACTTCAGGGTTTTTGTTATTTTTTCTAATGTTCTTGGAACATTTCTGACTCAAAGAAACAGTTTCATTTCACTTGCCATTTTCTAAAGACAAATACCAGTTGGTCATCACCCCTCCCCTCATATGCACAGCCTAAAAGAATATAGTTAATTAGCCTTTAACACAACTACACACTCATGATACTATAGCAGGGATATATTTATAAAATACATAAAAGAGCACAAATTTAGAGAAAGGGGAAAATAATACTTTTTAAACTATTTCAGAAACACCAAAATATATGCTAGAATTTTAAATTTGTAAGTATAATTTCCATCAATATTACAGGCATCTTCCAAGTTGGCTAACTTGTTTTTGTTTGCCAGGAAACTTTCCCTTGAAGAAGAAACAAGACAAAATACCCCATCTAAAAACAAATGTGTTAGAATATAAGGAGGTAGTGTTATTTTGGGAATTTAAAATTTACATGTTTCAAAGTTCAAATATTTAAAAAGCATAACGAAAATATTTTCTGTGAACTAAAGGTTTTAGGCTTATTGAAAAAAATATTACTTCATGTAGGTGATCCAGATTTTAAACTTTTCAATCACAGCAACAGAAGGATTAAGAAATCATAATAATTTCATCCCTAAATTTAAGAACACATCATCAATTAGGAAGACAAACTGTAATTCTTATTAAAATGTCACTAATATTAATTTAACAGATTTATTGAAAATAGATTTAAATCACAGTTCTATTCACTTTTTTGATGTATTCAGAAATCACCTTTAACAAAGTAATTTTTTTCATCAGCAATTTCAAATGGTTTCCCAGCTTCAACAACTGATGAAAATTTTTATCATTTCACAAAATTCTCAACATTCTTCTTAACACTTACCAGTATCATAATGATGCTGAATCTGATAATGGTGAAGATTTTTCAAGAATAGCAATGGTAATTCTGTTTCATTATTATTAGCAACTTATGTTTATTATTGTCTTTATTATTATTAGCAACTTTATGGCCCTACTTTTTCTTTTGGCCCATTTTCACTTTTCTTTAATTTTTAGGACCTGAGTCTATCTATGCAGTTGTATTCTATCCACCATAGTTAGTCTTACTGGTAAATGAATCATTTTCAAATAGATTACCACTGGATTTGTCATTAATAATTTTTTATTCACTGAAGACTTTATTAGTCACACAAGTAGACTTGGCTGTTTCTATATCTCTGACAGAGAACTAGATTGCAAGTATTTGCTTCATACTAAATAAATATCAAACTAGAAAACTTTAAACATTTAAAAATAACTATTAATTGCTTTTCACAAATAAATGACAGCTTGTTGTGAACTTGAAAGTACTGTATCTGCATCCAAACAGTAGAAAAATCTAGTAAAGCTGTCCGCCATGGGCTCTACTTTTTTTGAGCTATTCCACTGTACAAAATAGCCATTTAATAGTTCAAGGATCATAAAGGGCTGAGAAAGGAAGGTTAAGAAGCAAAATAAGTAAATAAACAAAACAAGCATTTAGAAGCAAGCAACACATGCAGAACAAGCAAGAGATTAGTTTACATGAAGAAGAGGCAACTTACATGGCTGTTGAGAAGAGAGCTTCTGTGAGTGGACAGACCGTCAGACTTTTGCAGCGTCTCAATCGCCATTTCAATCTGATAATAGATGTCATTAAAAAAAGGGCTCAAGACAAGATAGTAATAAAAGGCTGACCAGAGATTTTTGATAGATTCTTTTAAAGTTTAATTCCTTCTTCAATGGTGGCTAATGAATAGCTCTCACTAAATGTGTTTTCCCCTTTTCTTCCCCCCACCCCCAGAGAATAAAATAAAAATAGGCACATTAATAATAAGCCCTATCACAAAAGTAAACCTTTTTGAACACTGTGTAATTATAATCAGTATGGAGACCTGAGGAGCAGGAACCCCGGTGGATTTTTCTAGCTATGAGAAAACATTCTTGACTCAAAGTTCAAGATGTGTGATAGTAACCACTCTCTAAATAGTCTCCCGCCTAAAGAGTATTTAATATTTATTCTATTCTGTCATGAAAGAAAAATCATGCAATAGATTCTGAACTTAATATACATTAGCATTTCAATGCAAATGTACAAAAAAATCCTTACTTGATGTTTGAAAGCTATGAAATCCATATATCCCTCTTTTAGTCTTGTTATTAAAATTTGAAAGTGAAGGGTCATACATATGAATGAATATTCATATGTAACTGTGGCCCCTATGCTATATTTTAGGATGTGGTAGTAAGGCAGAAATATTAGAAATGACAGCAGAAATGGAATGTAGAAGAGAAAATAATTCAGAGCCAACAAAGAAAAGGGGCAACTACAGAAAATTTTATTCCATGTAATCTTAGCATATTATGAACAACAACAAAATCTTACTCAATTCGTAATTTTACTTAAGTAGCAGCGCCAATGATAAATGTCACATTCTCATGATAACCTCATATTTAATGGTAGCTTATCTTTCAGCTCCTAGTATTATTATTGCACATTCTGTTAATAAACAGCTTTGAAATGCTCTGTGGTTTTGGGGTTATACTAACAATATTAGCATTGCATTTATGTTTTAAAATTGCATTATGCAATTTAAGAGAAAATATATATTATTACTTTTGAAAATCTGATCACATCATCAATTTAGTAAAAGCAGTTATAGAAATATTTAATGCTTTAATATATAGTTAAATTTCTGACACTTTACTTTGGCTATGGAAATTAATAATGTCTTAAAATTTTAACATACTGCCACTCCCAAAGAAAAAGGATAGAAGATAACTGTTATCTTTTTTAATTTTTTACCAAGTTTCCATTTTCTTTATCATACAACACATTATAGATAGAACATTCAGTATCAATTATATCAACATGAAATCTAATTTTCTTATAAACAACTTGGAAATTAATAGCTTTAATTTTATTTTATATTACTTTCCCAAGTTGTGAGTTCTTCCCTATAATAAAATGTAATATGGAGCAGATTATTATAAGAATTTATAGAAAATATTCTTAAAATGAATATTAAATTAATTCATAAAACTATATAATACATTTTATTCTATTGTTAACTTTTCTTTTTTAGATCACAAAACTATATAGACTGGTGTTAAAACATTCTCTCTTCCAGATAAGAAAATAATAAAGTTTATCATTATACTTGAAAAATAAACAGAAGAAAGTGATATTGCATAAGTGAAAAAAGATGCACTTTAGAGCAATGCAAATGAAATGAGTTAATAAACACTTTGCCAAAATCTTAAACTGAAAAACTAAAGAACTTTGACATGACATTTCTTAGTAGCAATCAATAAGTGCTCTTGCTTTAAAAACATCTGAAAAGATTCATGTGACTAGAAATCACTTCTAAGAAGAACTGAATCAAACTGCAATTTGCTAAAATGCCTACATTTTCTTTAAAGTTTGAGTGTGGAAATTTTGAGATAAGATTTCAGTCTAATAAATAAAAATACAATGATCTGTAGCCTGTGACTTATAGGTTTAAATGAAAGGTAAAAATTATCGGAACTATAATAGCTGAACAACACTCAGAAAGATGTTCATGCTCTGGGTTTGTAAAATAGCAAGTTTAAGTTGGATAAACCATTACTTTCTTATCTTAGAAGATCTGATCACATCTTTTTCTTAGAGGTCTGCTTGTATTTATCATCTACTGTGATGGTCCCAGATTTCTATTTGATTCCCTGGAAGGTGAGGTTGTTAGGAAATAATCCTCTCATTTCTGGCCAGTTTTCATTTTTGTCTTATATGTATTTACTCACTTATGTACTTGGGATTAAACCCAGGGCCTTCCACTGGACTATATCCTCAGCACTTCTAAACAGTTTTTAAAGAGTTTTGAGGTAGGCTGTTAAGGAGTAACTAGAGACATGGGTCAAACTGGATTCCCCAGCAGTGGACTGACTTTCTAGAATGCCTTGGACCTTCAGACTTTTGGTTCTTTTTTGTCCCTTTGAACAATCAGAATATTTTTTCACCTCTACCTGGTAAGAATTTATGAGAAAGGCGCGCGCGCGCACACACACACACACACACACACACAAAACGTATTTATCATATTCATTTTTTTAAAGTTGAAGAGAAATTTAATCTCATGAAAGAATCATATAGCCTTGACTACATTTTTTAAAGGATGAGATCTATTTATAAGTGATTATGTACCTAACATATATAAAATAGTGTACAGGGGACCAGGATAAAAAAAAAAGTCTCATAATATATAGGATATTACGATGTAGTGAGAGAGATAGGTTAGGTAGTCATATATATGAATAATGCACAACTATGAAAAAACAAAGCTATATATAACAAAAATAAAAGTGTAATTTATAAAGGTAAATGAAAATGAAAACAACATTCTCTAAGTTTTAGTGGGGAAGGGGGCTTTTGGCCTCCTTCTGAGAAAGTGTTAAAAAATATGTAACTTCTCCTTGAAAAAAATGTATTTAAGAACACCTACAAAATTTACTGTCATTTTCTCAATGATTATAGACTCTACAAAGTGAGTACTCATACATAAAAAGATGGAGGTGTTCTAGTTGAAAAGAGTGGGGCAAAGGGTTTTCTAGGGAGAAGAATAGGCTTAGTAAAGTCAAGAGGCAAGAAAGCCCAGGGCATGTATTTGAGAAATGTCAAGGAACCTAGTTTTTAAGGTATGTCTCCCTCTCACACAGAGTAATGGTGTAAGTGAGACTGAAGAAAGAGTTTGGAATTAGCTATTGATATGTAGCAGTCAGAGAAAAAGCAATGTCATTAAGGTTTTGAGGGAAGTATGTGAATATTTGAGAAATGTTGGTTTTCAGATAAAGCCATAAAATAGGTTTTGCTAGGTAAAATGGATTGTGCTGCTAGTAAGAGTGGAAGTGTGTCCTATTTGTGTTTATGGACTAAAAAGAAGTTTTAAGGGACAAAAACATGAGAAGAGATTATTCCCCCATAGGAATATATTATGACAGTAGAGGGAAAGTAAGGGTGAGAGGTTAGAGAAATAATGTAAAAACAGCGAAGAAAAGTAATATTGAGGCAACATTTTTATATTGTTAGCATATGGGGAATTAAATAGCTTTCTTACCACAAATGGATTATGGATGTTATTCCTACCAATTACCCCATATTTTTTTTTGTCATAGATTCATTGGGTAAGATCTATGTATATGGGTGGGAGTTAGAGGAAAAGAGGGATGGAGTACAAATTAACTAAATAAGCTATATTAGTGGATTAGAATAGGTGTCTACCAGACTCATTAAGAATAAAGTTAATTCGTTTATATTTTATTATTGTGGATTAGATATTTGAGCAAATATTTATTCAACTCTTGGGAGTTGACCAATATAAAAAAATAGAGCACACTTCAGTATCTGACACTTAAAATACTGAGTTCAAAGTGAACTGGTGAAGATTATGTACTTTCAATTCTCACTATTCTCATATATTATCTGAGAAAATGTTTCTAATCTTAATGAAAATACTGTATAACTGCTGCTTCATGAAATGAAAATTATTAAATAGCTAGGTTACCAGGTGGCTAGAATTTAAAAGTGTTTCAAATTCAAGGAATTTGTAGGGTTTTTTAAAGTAAAAGAATAAAATTAAATACCAATCCCTCCAGTATAAAACAACTACAGTCCTTGCTACTGATGGTGGGAACTTCATTAAATTATTAAGGTGTCATGTGATTTCATTTCAAGAATCATAAAACCTCACTGCACACAAGGAGCAATGCTAGTATGGTAGCTCTGTGTATGAGTGGTTATATATATATAGAGAGAGGAGAAGAGTGGGAAGAAAGGGGAAAGAGAGGGAGAGATGAATTGAAAGATGCAGATGAGGAGGAAAAGGGCAGGAGGTGTGTGTGTGTGTGTGTGTGTGTGTGTGTGTGTGTGTGTGTGTAAGGACGGAGTAAAAGACATAGTAGCAAAAATTTTCAAAAAATGCCCTGTTAACTCGAAGCTCAAAATACATCCTGGCTTGAGTAAAAACTGATAGAAGTAACACAATGTGTCAATATACAAGGGACTGCTAATATGTATATACAATAAGCAATCAAAAGCAATCAAAATGAATTAAATAATTATTGCTAGAATATAGAGGAAGACAGGAAAGGAAGGAAGGAAGGAAGGAAGGAAGGAAGGACCACATCTTGTTGGTATAGTTAGTTTTACAGAGAAGGGATAAAGTGGTGGTTGAGTAGAAAGTTGAGAAATAATGCCTGACATTCTGATAGGGGCAGGTTGGTGAAAATTTTAGGTATAGAAAACAAGATCAGATGATACAATGTATGCTTGAGGAAGAGTAAAACAAGATAAGATGATACAATGTATGCTTGAGGAAGAGTAAGACTGACTGGAAGATAACTTCCCATTAGGGATGGATATATTAGGTTAGAGAGACTGCACTGTTTTGACTGGGATCTTGGGTTAAAAAGGATGTGGGCCATGGTTGAAAAGTATTGAGAAAGGGAAGTAATCTGATAAAGAGAGTACTTCATATCATTAATCTAGTATAGGATACCAGAGAATCAGGACAGGAAAACCAATTTGGAAGTATGATAATGTACCAGGAATGATGTGAGAGTGAAGAGGATGAATATAAATATACATTAGAATTAGAGATCTAAA